ATTTTTTTTTTGTATATATATATATATATATATATATATATATATATATATATATATTTACATTTAAGATTTATACACAATAATTAAAAAAATAATTAATATTTCAATTTTTAAAAGTATTTATTATTTATTTTTCTATTATATCTTTTAAGTGATTGAAGAATAATAAATAATTATATTAAAAATGAATAAATATATTATTCAATAAAAATATATTAATTATTAAAGATAAAAATAAAAAAAATTAATAAGTTATTAATTTTAAAAAAATAACAATAAAAATTGAAAAAAAAATAATATCAAAACATCTATGAGAAAATAGTGGTGGATACATAGATTCAAGTCTTAATCTTCTATTTTAATAAGTTTAGTCACATAAATATTAATGAAAGAAAAAAAATAATTAATGATGGTCCATTAGAATATTTTTTTTTATCAGCTAAAAGAAATGTATTAAGGAGGCACTAGGGGTGCCAAACCCAAATACAAGAATGTTGAGAAATAAGAAAGAAGTTACAAATAGTTTTATACTACTCTAAAATTATATGTTCTTATCATGAGTAATACAAATTTCTGTTGCAATGTACTGAAAAGCATGTTTCCCACATTAGAATGTGTATGATATATTTTTTAAAAAATAAAAAGAGATTTTAAATAAATAAAAAAAATCTAAATATTTATACAAATATATAATAATTTCACATCACCAGCTGCGTTTACCACGATCACAATTGCGACTACAACCGTAATTTAAAACCATGTATTTACTAAAGTAAGACAGTCGCTGAAATAAGACCTATATATTAATATTATTAATTGATAACAAGTTTTCTCTTACCATTGTTCCTCTTCCACGAGGGTTGACTTTGTAGAAAGTGAACCAAATCAACGGCCAAGGAATCGCGAAGCGTGTGGTTGGGTTCGCGGAACATGGTGGAAGCGTGGAGGCCGCCGTAGAAGGGGACGTAGAACAAAAGCGCGGCGTGGGGGTCCCACGTGCGACACGGGTGATTCTGGAGGCGTGCGTGGACGATCATTTCCGCTATGAATTGGTGCGTGGCGTACCACGAAGGGGTGGAAAGGGGTTGGCCTAGGCCGTTGTTAGCGACATGGGGGCACATGTTGGTGTACACGTTTAGCTTGTGGCAACGTTGGAGGAGCCCTAGGTTGAAGCGCGAGGGAAGTGTGTGGATGTAGAACAAGGGTCCTGATCCGTGGCATGTGTCAGTGGAAGGTGGGATCCGAGTGTGGTGATGAAGAAAGAGGATCCATGAAGCAAGGATGAGGCATGAGAAGAGGGTGTACCTTAATTTGTTGTTGTTGTTGTGGGGGTCTTTGGTTTTTGAGAAGCTTGTTGTGGAGGGTAGAGAGTGTAGTGGGGGAGTTGGTGATGGCTTTCGGAACAACATGGAGAAGTGGTTGTTGTTTTCAGATGAACACTGATTGGTATTAGTCTTAAGCAGGTGAGAAGTTCATTAACAAGGACACGGAAGTCGTAGGTCAAGAAAGAAAGTAGCTAGGGACAGCTTGGAAGATGCTGGCTGGTTCACTAGTAATAACATAACAATAAAAGTTGTTAGGTCACTGAAAATAAATTCCCAGGCTAATTTTAGTGTTATATAATATTTATAATTTATTAATTATTGCATTCAAGTCCACTTAATGAAAGAATGTTACAACAGAATAATTTTGTTTTTTTTTTACACGTGGACTAATTTAGTTATATGCTTTTGAATTATTATATATATATTATATAAAAGTTGTTAATTAGGTGACTAAGAAAAATAAATTCCCAGGCTAGCTAATTAATTTAGTATTATAAATATTTATATCCGTTAATTAATACATTCAATAGTCCTCTTGAATAAAAGACTGTTACAATGGAATAATTTATATAGTTATATACTTTTGAATTATATATAAATAAGCTGTTAGGTGGCTGAAATTTTTTTCCAAAGATAATATTAGCATTGTTAATTTTTATATCCACTAATTAATACATTAGTCCCACAGAATGAAAGACCGTTAAAATGAAATTTTATTATAAATAATTGTTAATGCTAAAACATTTTTTTCCTCAATATAGTTTGTCCAAATTAAAAGATAATTCAGTCAATTATTAATAATATTTTATTTATAAAATAATTATAATTAATTATGAAATAAAATTAATTATAGGCAAAATTTACAAAATATGAAATTTGATATCAAAATTATAAATCTTTTCTTGTTATATAAAATTATTAATATTTAAATAAAATTTCCCCCTAAAAGTCAAGTTAAATTAGGAGCAAAATCAGTTGACTATTTTTTAATTAATAAAAAAATTATGATTACATTAATAATAAGATTTTATTTATAAATTAATTAAAATTAGTTCTGCAATGAAATTATTAAAAAAAATTTCTCTTATCATATTATATAAAGTTGTTAACATTGGAACAACTTTTCTCCCTAAAAAAAGTTCGCCCAAATTTGGTCAACTATTTTTTACTCTAATAAACGGATGGTAAATACATTATCAATAAGATTTTATTTATAAATCAATCAATCATAAATCTTATCATATACAGTCGTCAAAGTTTGAACAAATTCTCTCTCCTAAAAAGTTCATCCAATTTGGAAAACAATTAAGTGAATTTTTACTCAATTAAATAATTATAAATACAATAACAATAAGATATTATTTATAAATTAATTACAATTAATTATGGAATAAAATTATAGACAAAAATAATTATAAAAATCTGGTCAAATATTCACTACACTTATTTAATTTTAAATAAATTTTTATTGATCAAGTTATTGCAACAGATTTTAGAGTATTAATAATCTCAATTAACATTGTCTTCATAGTTTTATTGATAAAGAAATTGAAAATATAATCATTTTTTTCGCACAAAATTTTAAAAAATATTATTTAATAGTTTTGTTGATAAAAAAAATTTCAATCATATATATATATATATATATATATATATATATATATATATTATCTTATTATATAAAGTAGCTAATGTTGAAACTAATGTTTTAAAAACTGGATTGGATTGGATCATTTTGAGTCTTGAGTTGTATTGGTTATGCATTTGACCCGTTTCAAATCAGAGTGAACTGGTCAATTTTTCGGTTTGACTAGAGAACCGGTGGGTCAAACCGGTTCAATCACAAATTTTTTTATTTTTTAAGGGACCACAAAAATAACAATGAGAATTAATTGAATCCTACTACAAGAAAATTGTCATGTAGTGACACACATCCTATAGTGACACAATATGTGTCACTAAAAACTACTTTTACCTACACAATAAATATAATATATGTTGATATATTGTTAAAAAGTGTGGGTATAAGCTATAGTGACACATAAAATATGTTGTTAAATCTCATTCAAAGTCAACACTAAAATTGTGTGTAGCTATATGCCAAATAGATATATACCTACATATATTATACTTATAGTGACACTTTTTGTATGTCACTATATGTAACATTTATTGTAGTATTAATAAAAGAACAAAGAGTCTTATTAAACATAACAATGACTACTTGTTCTAATGTATTTGTTTGTAATATATGTAACTTAAATAACTTTCATAGTATATTATTAATTTTATATTATATATTTAATAATATAATATCTATGTAGATATTACATATATTATTTTGTATATCAATTGCAAGTATATTATGTATGTACATATTATTTATATTTTTAATTTGTATTAATATACGGTTTAACATGTAATTTTTTATGTATTTCTTTATATATATAAAATAAAAATAAAGATAATTTTAAATAAGATGGAAATTAAAAATTTACATAGGATATGAATTTATTAAAATTTATAAGTATAAAATATATTTAACATGAATATTTTTTTTAAATTAATAAAAACTGGATCATACAATTCAATTAGTAATCCATCGATTCAACCTTTGACCTACTGATCTAGTATCCTAACCAGTTTGATGAACGGTCCGATTTTTAATACTATGGTTGAAACAACTTTTCCTCCAAAAAAAAAAGTTAGGCCAAATTAGGAGACAAATTAGTTGACTAACTTTTAATCAATAAAAGGATTATAATAACATTAATAATAAGATTTTATTTATAAGTTAATTTCAACTAATTATGGAATGAAATTGTAGGAAAAATTTTACTCAAAATAATTGATTATCTCTAGTAATAATTAATTATTTGTTCTATTTTCGGTGACTTGAAAAACATTTATAATAATTAATTATTTATATAAATAATTGATTATTTCATAAATGAACTTCTAGAATAATTGATTATATTAAGAAATAATTGATTATTCATAACAATAATCAATTATTTTAGTGAGAAAATTTTATATAATGTTTTTAATTCTCAGAATTTGAAGAAGAAAAAAAAAACTTTTCAAAATTGATAATTGAGTGAGCTCTTAAAGAGAGGTTTGAAACCCTTTGTGGAAACCCTAGCATGAATCAAGAGAATGAATTGTCATCATCGTCTACTTGAAGGATGGTGGCTAAGTTGTTTAGTCTTGATACACCTATTTATTTTATTTTGTACTTCAGGTGATATATTTCCTTAATCTTTTTTTTTTTACTTGGGTAGGTATCTCAAGGTAGATGAATTCTTGAATAGGTTCTCAAGAAAGGTGGGTATCTTGTAGTGGGGTGCTACAAGTTTGCTTTTTGGGGTTCAAGAAGTAGTTTCTTTAATTTGCTAAAATGTTTTGCACGTGGTTGTATAATTGTAAATTTTTAAAAATTAAAAAATAGTGGAAATACTCAATCAAGTTGATTGGGGAATGGATGTAGGTTACTAGTGAAAGTGGTTAAACCAGTATAGATTGTTGTGCAAGTTTCTCTTACCCTTTAACTTGAAATTTCTTTCTTGTTAATCTGATTACATGCTTGTTAATATATTTCTTATATCTTGACTATTGCATGTAGGGTAATTAAAAATTTGACTTGCATTAATAAGTGTTGTCAACTGTCCATTTCACTTTGGTTAAAAATCAATTAGTTCAAATGGAAGGTCTTTAGAAAAGTTTTCATCCAAGGAAGTTAAGAAGAATTATTAAAATCCAATTCACCTTCCCCCTCTTGGATCAACCATCTTTTCTAACAATTAGTATTTAGAGCTTGTTCTTGAAAATGAATCAAGTTTGTGAAAAATGGTTGAAAAAACTTTACCTTATGGTGAAGGTAATTTAATACATAGACCTCTTGTTTTCAATGGTGAAAATTATGTGTATTGAAAAATTAGAATAAAAATTTTCATTTTGAAACAATTGATATAGCCATTTGGGATGTTGTTGAAAATGAACCCCATTTACCTATAAGTGAAAAAAAATGTGAGAAAAAAGAAAAACATTGGAGTGAGTGGAGTGATAATGAAAAGAAAATAGCACAATATGACTTTAGAAAAAGAATATTATCACATCTGCATTATTAGTTAATGAAATCTTTAGAGTGTCACAATGTAGTTCTTCTAAGAAAATATGAGAACTTTTTCAATTGACACATGAGATAGCTAGTGATGTTAAGAGATCTAAGAAGTACCCACTAGTTAGAGAATATCAATTGTTGCATATAAAACAAGGTGAAATATATGTGATTTCAAAAATGTTTTACATGCCTTATAAATCACTTGATAAATCTTTGCAAGAAATTTGATAATGAAGATTTGGACAAGTTTATGTCCAATTGTATTGAGTGTGTAAACTATAATTGCTCATGATTATTTACATTGATGCACCTTTGTTATTACTAGTAACTTTGATATATTATTTACATTCTCAATTTAGTTGTACATGTTGTATGCTATGTTATGTGTATGACTACTCGACCTTATCTCACATTGATAGAGTGAGACGTATCTTACTTCCCTTGTCTACTTGTTTTTATGTATGTTTTGCAAAAGGTCATATGGATGACAGACAATGGTGCTAATGTTGAGGCTTAGGTCTTAATTAGCATGTTTATAGGTAAAACTTTGATAGGATGCGACATCAAGGTTCATAGCTTTAAGTTTTGTTATTCTATTTACTTGGTTTATTTCACCTTGTTTAAGAACAACGTTTGTCATTGGATTTTGTATCATTTTTTTGAACAACCATTATGGTCTAGTCATTATTTTGGAGACATTTATATTTTGAACTTGTTCTATTTTGAACCAAATGTGAATCCTTTATCCTTGGAGACATTTTACGAACTATTTATTTATTTCAAATCGAATTTTAATTAGATAAGGTTCTTTTTGTTTTGTTAGTATTTAAGAGTATGAGTATGTGAAGTAGAGGGTGTCATAAGAGAGCGAGGTGACAACAACGTTTTTCAATGTATTATGAATTGTTTATTTTCTTACTACATCTCTTATGGCCTTTAAGCCTCAAATACAAATTAAATTTTTATATATAAATGCTTAATTGTTATAATATTTTGTCGCAAATAAAAGTTGAAATAATGTTTAAATTCTATTTTTTATTTTTGGCAAACTAATTCGTTTAACCCACCAACTCATGATATGCTAAGCCAAATTAACT